TAATTATGGTGGACAATTTTATTCAATCCAAGTTAGGCACACATGCCTACTAAATAAAGCCTTTTAACCTGAGGCCTATGGTCTCTGTTAGAATTGGACCTAAAAAATACTCCAGGACAAAACTGTAGCTTTATCTCCTTGAGATCAGAATGACTACAAGTGAGTTAGAAAAAGAATACTTTTTTTAGCCATGTGCTTTAAGGTTATTTAAGTGTACACCCACTTAGCATCCAAAAGCATTTTGAGTGACACCGAAGAGATGCCTCTGTGGGACCTGTGTCATGGAGTGACTGCAAGAGACAGCACCAGGCCGAAGGCCGACTGAGGACAGGCTGCAGCCTTTCTTTCCTGTGCTCAATCCTTAAAAACCATCAAAGAAGACGTTTTTAAGTTCCAAACAATGTTAGGAGAAAGAACAAACACGTCTGGAGGACTACAACAATGAGGAAGAGCTGAGAGACAGGAAGGAGTCAAAGGAGGAACCCACACTCAAAATGCTTCCTGGAAAGGGAGGCTTCAAAGGGGGCTCTGGGTGTGGCCGGAGCTCAGGGGTCAGTGGACATGGCAGCTGGAAGACTTGTTGGCGGTCTTGGACAAGAGCAGCCAGGAGAGTCTGCTCCCTCCCTAGGTCCCACGTATGGGGAAGCCCAGCTACTGGGCTCCAAACAGGGGTATTGAATGAGAAGATCAGTACATATGATTAATCTATAAGCAGAACGAGCCAGAGGAAGAGAGAGAGAGAGAGAGAGAGAGAGAGAGAAGAGAGAGAGAATACAAGTGACAGAATTCAGGAATGAAAAACATCACTACAGACCCTATAGATACCTGAATTATCATAAAGGAACTCACAATCTTATGACTGTATAGTGGACAATTTACATAAAATGAATAAACTTCTAAACTTCTAAAGTGTACCCAAGAGGAAACAGATGACTTCAATCACCTTATCTCCATGGAAAAAAACCCCTGAATTCTTAGTTAAAACTTTCACACACACACACACACAAATTAACTTTAGAGTGGAGAAACTGACTAACACCACCTCAATCCAGCAATCAAGATGACCATCAACAATGATAAGTCAGGTTGACAGGACATCTCCAATACAAGGTGATGAAACTGGCACTTGCCTTCCACACGCTTTCTGCCCAAACCCAATTAACCACAAGGAAATCATCAGACAAATGCCCACTGAGGCTCGTACTACAACATGCCCGACCAGATCTCCCAGAAACGCTCAAGGAACTTATAAGTAAGATTTTAGAACCCATCACCAGCAAACATCGTGGCTAAAAGCAGTAAGTAAATGCCCAGCCTCACCATGAATCACAGAGAGACCAACAGACACGGATACCGTCTTTTCCCTTTGAGTGACTGACGTCGGCTGACGTGGCTGTGGAGAAGCTGATTTGTTCACAGTAGGAGCAAGCCATCTTCGGCAGGTAGTTTGGCAATATGTACTACCATTTAAAATGCACATTCCCCTGACCTGGCACTAGAGACTTGCATAGCAGCATATCAAGGTAGAAAGGAGATTCACTGTACATTGTTTGAAACAGCAAAAACAAACCAAAAACCAAAAAACCCACAAACAACCTCCGCCAATAGGGAAATTCTATCTAGACCCCACTGCTGTCGTGTGGCTCCCTGTGAGCTCACGGTGACCCTACAGTCCTCTGACGCATGGTGCAGTTGCGTTTCATCAAGCCAACCACTCATGACAAGCTCATGTGCGGAGAACAGAGTGGCCCACAGGCTTTCCAAGGCTCTGAACCTTTAAGGAGGCTGACGGCCACATCTTTCTTGTATGGAGCAGCTGGGTGGTTACAACTTAGGCCTTTTACCCACCAGGGGTCCTCAGGAGATGGACCTGTGGATCTGCTGCTGAAAAGCCACAATCCGGGAAGCCCCACGGAGTCCAGGCTGTCTTGAGTGAGGACTGACTCGGCGCCACCCAACACCCAACGGGAATCTGTTTTCCGTGTATACATATATGCACTCTATGTGGTGTGTGATGTGTATGAATGAAAACTATGAACACAGTGCCATAAATGGATCTAGATGCATGACATAGGGAAAATCTCCAAGGAAGGATGATATAGGAAAACAAACCAATAAGCCGCAAAACAATCCACCCAGTCGTGATCCTGTGTTAAAAACAACACAAAAGATCTCTTTGTGTATATTGGAAGGGGCTTGAAAACGTTCATGGAAAAATAGAATGAAAAGACATTGGAATTTGTGTAGATTATGTTATGTCAATTGACTTAAGCATCCCCTGAGACTATGCCCCTGAGCCTCAAGGCCCAGCAGCTAATCTCCTCAAAGTGTTTGGTATGGCTAAGAAGTTTTCATCAATGTGCTTCCTGTATGTATGTGCCACTACAGACATAAATATATTTGCAGCAAAAGTAGATACAACTCAAACTCATTGCTATTGAGTCCATTTTGACTCATAGCAACCACGTAGATCAGAATAGAACTGCCCGTGTGGGTTTCTGAGACTGTAACTCTTTACTGGAGTAGAAAGCTTCATCTTTCTCCCTTGGAGTGGTTGGTGGTTTCAATCTGCTGACTTTGTGCTTAGTGGGACAACACACAACACTAGGGCTCCTCTGACTCAGTAATAGATAGGTAGGCAGGCAGACAGAAAGAAATATATAGGAATAGGTGCGGTAGTTACATAATCTGGTGTCAATTTGAGGATTAAGAGTTTAGGGGTGGAGTCTAAACTGTCAATCAGGATATAGCCAATGGGCCTCTGTGTGAGCATGGCCTTCCCCTAAGGATTCTGGGAATCTCTATAATTTCCTCTTGGAGGTGGGAGACATCTCTCTCTCTCTCTATTCAGTCCCTGGGAGACATTGCAGCTGACAAGACACATGGAACTACCCTAGTGCCCAGAGCTGGAGAAGCCACATGGACCTACCTTGATACAACTAGACCTCTAAAGCTGGAGAAGCCACATAGAGACACCTGCCCGTGCTGAGATGCTTACAATGCCACTGGATCCAAAGACTTTACACCTCCTAGCCTATGATTGTCCTGCATTCAACATCATTACATGTATTTTGTAAGTCTGAAGAGGACTTTATAGATTGGTATTGGACATATGGGCTAATATTGGACTTATGGGCTTGGACTGGACTGGGTTGGGATGCTTTCTTAATGTACAATTACCCTTTATATAAAATTATCTCTTATACAAACATGATTTTCTATGGATTTGTTTCTCTAGTCTTCCCGGACTAACACAATGGGTATGGATGAGAATATACACATATGCATGTATATGTGTGTATATATATTTGTGTGTGTGCATGTATGTATGCATGTATATGTATGTATGCATGTGTATGTAGACTCTCATCCATACCCATTCAGCATTCATATCTATCCATGCATCTACTCATAGATCTCCATTATAGGAACACCAGTTTCCACAATTTTGAGACCAGAAGAAGTAGATGGTGCCCTGCTACCACTACCACTACCACTACTCTGAAAGGGATCACATGATAAAGTTCCGGATAGAGAGGAACACAATGTGGGACAAAACTCAAAATCATAAAGTCCAAGTTTCCTGACCAGATAGAGACCAATGCCCCTAATCATCCTTTAGGCCTGACAATTAACTCACCGCATGGCTCAATTAAGAGCTTGAGTAGTGTAGTGGGCTACATATTAGCCCTCTAAAGGTAAGGTTAGCAGTTTGAACCCCACAGTCGCTCCATGGAAGACAGATGGGGCTTTCTGCCCACAGGAAAGAATTACAGCCTCAGAAACCCAAACCGGGCCATTCTATTCTGCCCTGCAGAATATGAGTCAGAATCAAATGGATGACGGTAGGGCTGAGTTTGGGGGTATTTTTTTTTAATGGCTTTCAATTTTCAGCCAAGCAATAGGCAGGTGTTGAAGGGGAACAGTAACACCGGTAAGGGACGCATTTCTTAGAATAATCAAACATCTGAGATCAGAAGAGTAGCATTTACCCGAGGACAAAGTTCAGAAGGGTTAGCAGAGGAGGCGGAAAGGAAACAAGACACAGAGAGGAAGTGGGATGAGTGATGTTTCATTGTGGGAATTGCGATCAGTGAGAGGAAATCAAATGTGTATGAATTTTTCAATGACTACGTGATCTGCTCTGTAAATCTGACCGAATTCATAATAAAAGTTCAAAAATAGTAACATTCACAAAGAATACAACATACAGATTAATGGAGTTTTTCATAAACTTTTTGAAGCCCCTTTGTACATGCGCATGAAAGAATTCTCACTACTTTATTCCCAGTGGCTGCCCTCCAGAGAGGAGAATGGGATGAAGTGGTTGATCACAGAGAGACGGTCTAACTCCACCCTCACTACCATCCAATTCCAACTCAACCAACAGCAAGGAGTAGAGCTACCTTAAACTCTTCTGGGGTGTACAAAGCTCATCTTTCTCAGGGTGGCTTTGAACTGCTGAGCTTGTAGTTAGCAGCCCAATGTCAAACTCACTACAACACCAGGGGTCCTAGGTGACTACAGCAAGATTTCTATCACTGGGATCCATTTTTGTGTTGGGTTTGATTATGCTACTCAAGAATATAGTCATGTGTCACTTGTATAATTAAACATGATATAGCGTTCCTGCTAGCTCCTAGGCTATAGCAGCTACTCAACAAATGCTAATTTATACTTTTTGCAAAATAATACACTATTCTGAAAGAGTTACCCTTTTAAATATAACAGATAATATAACGGGCCCTGTGGTCTAAGTTAAGCACATGAGAAGGCAAGAAGTTATGGAATTCTTGGATTTCACGTTTTGATTCAAGCAGCTGTAGCCGGGAATCCAGGAGCATGGGGCATGATTGGGAAAAGAAAGATTCCCTTGCCAAGTAACCAGAGTAAAGCAAGCTAGAGTTCCAGGACATTCTCACAGGAAGATGCAGTAACAAGCAGTCAGCAGAGGGATCTGGAGGTGCCCGACTGGCAGGCACATGGGACGGCCCTCTCACCTGTGGTCTTTGCTGAAGTCGTGGTGATACTGTTGAGCTCGCTAGGAGTCCGCTTTACTTGCCTTGGCTTGTACTCTCGCTTGGGGATGGTGGTTGCAGCTGCTATTCTGTAACACACACACGTTTTAAGGTGAATCAGACATCTGATGCAGAAAGGAAAGCTTCTTAACGTACATGCATGCTGTATAGATATAAACGTGGGCCATGCATGGGCAGTGGTCAGAAAGGAGGCATTTTCATATCTTTATTCTTACATAGCCCAAACTGAGACAGGTGTGTGCTATCTTAGACTCCCCCCTCCCCCCAACTGTTCACTTGAGTTCATAAGTGAAACTGGTCTTGGTGAAGAGTGTTTGTCTCTCTGAAAGCCTCGGAGGCATCTTAGCCAGTGCCTGGGGAGCACTCACCACTGCAGGCGCCTTCTCCCTCCTCTTTGCCTCTAGCTTTTGTAGTCCATTGCCCTCCAGTTGGCTCTGACTGGACGGCCACTCCCATGTCCATGTAGTGGGCACAGTCACTGTGTTTGGAGTAGCTCCCAATCTAGAGGGTTCCTCATCTTCCAGAACTAAAGCCCAGTGCCGGGGAGTTGATTCCGATTCGCCGCAAACCGCCTCTGGGTTTCCAAGGCTGTCCGTCTTTACGGAGCAGTCTGGCGCATCTTCTCTCCTGGCTCGGCGGATGGGTTCAAACGGGCAATCTTGGCAGTGAGCAATCAAGTTCTGTAAGCTCTGGTTTGCCAGGCTTTCCCGCCCGGCACTGTATTGAATAAAACTATTGTGATACCAGGGCTTCCATGGGCTAATTTCTACAAGAAGCCTCCGAAGCCTTCCTTCTTACAGAGTCGGCCTCTCTCGGCTCCACTGAAGCCTGCCTGCCGTGGGTGGCTCTGTTGGTATCTTGAAATGCTGGTGACATGGCTTCCAGCATCACAGCAACACTTAAGCCACCACTTACCACAGTATGACAAGCTGACAGATGGGTGGGGGGTAGCTTTCCCCTCTCACAGAGATCCGGTTATGAAAAAGCACACATGCTCAGATGACTAGACCTGCAGGCGGGAGTACCCGCTTCAGAGACGGGACACACCTGGATCTGCCCTCTCTCAGTAAAGCACGGATTCCAGGGGCAATCACTCCACATTTGGTCATCTTCATGCTGTTGTGAGGTGCCACCAAGTCGGCTGTCATTCACAACAGAAACAAAACACCGTGTCCTCACGATTGCTCCCACACTGGAGCTCATTGTTGCAGCCATGGGGTCAGTCCAGCTCCCCAAGGCCTTCCTCTCCTTCGCTGCCCCCCAACTTTTCCAAAAAGGATGCCCTTCTCCAAGACAACATGTCCAAAGGCTATGTGATGACGTCTCACCGTCTTCGCCTCTAAGAAGCACTCTGTGGGTACTTCTTCCAAGACTGACCAGTTTGTCCTTTTGGCGGGCCATAGTACTTTAATCTTCTTCTCCAGCACTACAATTCAAGTGCATGGATTCTTCTTCGGTCTGCATGTATGTGAGGCAACTGGAAACACGAAGCAACATCCCTGCTTTTCAATAATTCATTTTCTTCAGGGTTATTAAAATGGATTACTATATATTGATTATAATAACACAGACTGTTAAAGTGGATTATTATATATTCATTATAATAATCCTGTATAAAACTAAGTTTTGTTATCAAACCTGACTTTACAAATAGGGGTTCTTAAACTGTTTTACCCTAGCAAAAGATAAATACTGGAAAATATATGCCTTTTTTTGCCATTCAGAAAGGTGTTTGTTTTTCTCCCAGTATTTTTGACATGCAATTCAATGACATTGGCTATATTCATCATAGTGTGCAACCATCGCCACTATAAAATGGGTATTTTTTAACCCGCTATATAAAGTGGGCTCCCATGCATACCACATATGGGAGTGGTCATTTTCAGGAAAATATAGAATGTGTTTATCATTAGAGCCATCAGAAAGCACCCTTTCTTTGGCTCAGAAAATAATTTTTGAGTCTCCTGATAAATACCGCTTAGAATCAACATTATGGGCATGGCCTAGTATTTTACTGGTGAAGTAAAAAAAGTATCCTTCCCAGATCTTTGCTTGTGTGCCAGGATATTATCTCTTCCTTGTCCACGTCCAAATTAGCCTTGGTGTTAAAGTGGGCTACGCAGCGGGCTGCTAACCACAAGGCCAGCAGTTCAAAACCACCAGCTGTTCCTTGGAAGAAGCAGCTTTCTAATGCTGTAGAGCTACAGTCTCAGAAACCCACAGAGGCAGTGCTACTCTGTCCTGCTGGATTGCTATGAATCCGAATAGACTCATGGCAGCGAGTTTGATTTCGTTCTGTTGTTTGTTTGTTTTTTAATTTTTTCTGTCCACATCCCAATGAGTTGGGGGTGGGGGTGGGGGGTGGGTACTACATCATCACCCCCAACGTGAAAATGGGGAGCTAAACTCTCCTCGAGTCGTCAGGGACTCAGGGGCTGAAGAGAGGTCAGGGAAAGGGCCTCGGTGACAAGGTCAATCACAAAGGAAAGGAAAACCCTGGCCACATCCCCCTTCCCCAGTTCAGTCCGATTGGGCCGAACTGTGCCTTATCACCACATTCTCCCACGCTCTGCCATGAAAGCCAGCTAAGGAAAATTCAAAACAGGCTCGAGAAGGGAGTGGGCAGGGGCAGGAGAAAGCAGGGGAGGGAGTGAAGGATGGAAGGGAGAGAGGAGGAGGAAGGAGGGAAAGAAAGAGGGAGGAGGGAAACCGGAAAGGAGGCTCCTTCCGACTCCCTTGGACGCTGACGGGGCTCTTACCGTATCTGCAGCCGGGTGTGCAGTTCCTGCAGAACTTCTGCGGACTGTCTGTGATAGTCTAAGGCTGCGTCTACGAACACCGCCAACTGGCTGACTTGTTCTACCTGCGGCAGAAGTGGGACATTACTCCACCGAGGCTACAGCCGGTGGAGTTTGGAGAAAGAGAGAGCGTGGAGACCAGTAACCAACACCCGGCTTTGCAGGGAAGCTGGCGGCCGCAGCTCTGGTCCATTTCGTTCCATTTCACCTCAGCCTCTGCCTAATGAGCCCATAGGGCGTGGCCGAGAGCTGTGTGTGCTGGGGGACCATGTTCGCGTCTAGTTGTGAACAGGAATTTGATGGGACTCGATAAAATGCCTGTTTTTCTAATGAGAGGTTATTCTCAGGGGGATTTTGAGGCTTTCTGCTCACGGGCCTGAAAGAAAATGGAGGAATGATGCTTTGCCAAGGACAAGCACAGCCAATATTTAGTAGATGACTTGCTTACGTAGAAAGGGATCTCTATGGGCACTGTCTAGCGAAGCCAAGTCAAGAAGCAAAGTAAATGAAACTGTTCTCCGAGAGGGAAAAGGAATCGGGGAGGAACACGCTCCCCAAGACTAAGCTTCACCCCTGCCCTGTGCACTTTCACTGCTAGAGACACAAGCTATCCGAGACGCCGAGGCACGGAATGGACCGTGAAGACCAGCACTAAACCAGTGACTAACATACAGTGGATGCTTTAAAAAACAATTGAAAAGGAAGAAAGAGAAACTATGTCTTGCAGGAACCCTTGGGTGGTGCAAACAGTTCATGTACTCGGCTACGAACCAAAGGTTGGAGATTCAAGCGCACCCAAAAACACCTTGGAAGAAAGGTCTGGTGATCTACCTGTGAACATTGAACTCTGGCAACCCTATGGGGCACCTTTCTGGTCTGGCACATGGGAGTCACTATGAGTCAGGGCCAACCAGATGGTTCCTGGCTATGTCACATAAGACAGAAAGGAAAAGAGGAAGCCCTACAGGTTCCGAATTTGAAGAAGAGACTCCAGGAAGGCCTGAGAGCTTCCTCCACATCTCGAGGGGGCTGTCCTAGAAAAGAGGGCTTAATTTAACTCCTTTCTCCAATGGCCGGAGTTAGGACTGAGAGGTGTTGCTCTGCCCTAATAGCAAGTCATTCTGGGAACTCTCGGCACTGGACAGAGACTCAACCAATTCGACTCAGGCTCTGCCCAGTTTTCCTACTTAACTTTTCCTTATTTCGAATTTCCAATCAACTCCAGGGAGGGAAAAAAAAAAAAAAGATTGCCTTGTTTATTCACTCCTACAGGCTCACCCTGTATCACCAACCATGGATGCGTTTGCTCCAAGATCTAAGCTGTTTCCATGTGTTGCTGCAAACCCTTCTCCACTTGCCCGTGCTTTCCTTTCCTTACCTATTTATAACACTTTCAGTATGGGATCGGTATGGATTTGGGGTAGACATGGCATTACACTCGTGCCAAACTTGGAATGAGCATCTGAAATCCCATCATGTTATGTCACCATCTCTGTGGCTGGAAAAACAGGCCAACCAGCCTAGCCTTCAATTTCCAAAGGCCCAATAAACAAAACAAAGACAGCCTGGCCCCTACAAAATCCTAAGGATTTCTTAAGTTTCACCTCTTTGGTTTTAGAACACATGCTTTCTCAACAAGCCCAGCGTCACGGCCTACCATGATCATAACAGACTGTGCTACAGAAAGAAAGCTTCACTCTTAGAATGCAAGGCTTCTGTACTTGGTAAATCTGTGCAAAAAAAAAAAATTTAAGGGTAATAATTTTGCACGGTGCTTGACATTTCACAGCGATGGTTTTTAAAGAAACAGTGAAGAGTCACTAAAGGAAGATCCTTTGAAACAGATGTGGGCTGACAGGGCTCCCGGGCTAACCTCTCCGGAGGCTAAGCATAGGATTATGCTTATGAGACTCCGTCTCAACTTTTCCATCCAATGGCTGACTTTTAGAAGGACATGAGCCCCCACCCCCACCCCCCCAAGCTTAGGGGACAGCAGCAGTACTACACAGGGCGGCACCTAGTAGGGGCTCAAGGCAAACACTGAAGGGAACTCAGTGAGTGATGACAACGTGGTGCCGCAAAGAAGTGATCTTCTCTCTATGCCAGAAAATGGAAACTTCTAGTTGCCTCTCAGACAAGGAACTCTGAGCTCCATGTTGGGGTCCAGTCAGTGGTCTCTGCTTCCCAGACCACAAGTGGACTCAACTGTCTGCACAGGAAAACCCTAAATGAAAGAGTAAACTCAAAGAGGCAAACCTTGTCCAGAAAAGAAGCATTACTCCCACCCGCCATCTCTCTGGGTGGAGAAAATCCACCTGCTGCATGAGGGCAGCTCGTCGGTGATGAGGAAGCTCCTTGGTGGGACTGGAGAGGGCTGGAGAAAGCATCAACTACTGTCTGGGGCACCTGGGCCTTTGGCTTGTCCGTGCCAGAGATCAGCAGGTGAGCTGAGAGCACCAGGCCTACCACTGCCAATCACTTCCCTTTACTCTCCTTATCCCCTTGCATTTAGAGTGAGAATTCCCTGACCCTCTCTTCATCTCCTCTTACTCCTCCTGCTCCTACAGATGAGACTGAGGGTGTGCCTTAGTTACTCTGTCCTCAAACCCTGGAGGCCCCTATCCAGATGATAGGAGAGGCCTGCTCTCCACTGCCGGCTTCCCAGATTGTGCCTGGGTGGGTGAGTTCTGTGGCCTCTGCTGGAAGCCCCTCCCATCAGTTGAGGTTGACTTCAGATCCAAGCCATACCTTCCAAGCTAGTTTGCCAGGAGCCCTGTATATGCAATCCCAGGGGGTTACCGGCAGTTACAAAAGAAGCATCACTGGCTTTCTGGATCTTCAATTGGCCTCAATCTGAAGGTGAGGTTGGTCAACAAACAAATAAACAAACACAACAACATATCAATGGGTACTCCCCCAAACTCCAGCTCACAAGAAGAGAAGCCTAACCATGTGGTGGTAAAAGCAGATGGGCTCTTGTCTGCCGGCCAAAAGGTTGGTGGTTCGAGTCACTCAGAGGTACCTTGAAAGAAAGGCCGGGTGATCGCTTTCTGAAAGCCCAGCCCGTGAAAGCCTTAGGGAGCACAGCTCTGCTCTGATGCACGTGCAGCCAGCATCAGTTGGCATGGACTAGATGGCAACTGGTTTTTGGACATACACATTGTTTGGAAGAAACGTCAGGGCCTCTGTCATTTACCACCATGTTCCCCTGAGAGCATGTGCTTGACGATCTACTCAGGAAGTAGGAGCGCACCTGTCTCCCATGGGTGCCCAGTCAGGTGGAAGTTTGTCCAATCCAGTAGGCAATGGGAGAAGCACATGTCTTCATGCAGAGCGTCCCACCAGGACAGGAACCATGCACATGAGAGACTGTGACTTCCGTTGGACATACAGTTGGAGACGCAGAGGGAGCAGGAAGTTGGGATCCTGGGGCTGCAGACCATTGGCCTTTGTCTGGTCTCTACAGAAGCGTGGAAGAGGGGCTATAAGTATGACATCGGATCCACCCACCGTGGATTGTCCCTCTGTCCTCCCTCAAGTCTTTCTGCACAAATATGAGGCAACTTCAGCATGAGCCGTTCAGGCCGAAGGGGTGAACGGAAGGCCTCCTTGTGGGTGGGACTGACTTGCCCACTCACCAGGAGAGATGTCAAAGATTGCCATCTGAGCGAAAACAAATGGCTTGGAGAGAGGATCAAGAGAAACATGAACATATTTCAGAAAAAAAACAAAATAAAAACAGAGCGAACTATCCTACCTCTTCCTATTTCTTATAGTGTTTTTTAAAACATGGGAAGTTTAAAAGAAAGCCACCTAAAGTAAGGTCCTTTTCAGCACTTGGGGGTTTCATGGGGAGCAGGGATTTCAAGTGGGCTCTTCCAGGGCTGCTGCCTGGTCAACAGTGGGCCCGGCATTCACGGCACTCCATCCTGGCACACGAAAGGTGATTAGGCTGGTTGGGTTGACTGGAATCAAAAGATTCAAGACGTCAATGAGTCTTTTGATAAACTGCGATCAGTACAAGGCGGTGTGAGGAGAAATTAATCCTCGGACTTGTCCCTGCCAGTTTGAGAGCATAGCAGACGGGCCCAGACCTACTCCCAGGGGAGACGGCTCGCCCAGTCGCCAAGGTCAGGCTCAGGGCAGGGACTTGAGAGGGAGACAAGGAGTGGAAGCCTTTTCCACTCAGGCAGCAAAAACACCAGAAACACCCCCCAAGGCAAAAGTGGGCGGCCGGCCCTCAGTCAGCTTGCTGCCAGCTGGGGGTCACAGTCCCCTTTATAAGGTCACTAGGCTTCGAAATAAAACAACCGGCTTCATTCCCTCATCACCCAGTCAATTGCAAGTCATGGTGACTCTACTTGCCTCCCAGGCGCGGGGACCGCGGGCCTGGATGAGGATGCTCACAGCCCAATTCCCGGTGCACATCATGACCAGGGCTGGAGAGCTGACTCCAGTGGGAGAAGACTCACAGTTATGAAATAAAAGTGATTCTTAATACACATTCTCATGACTGAAAATAGTCTCCACTATGTCCCTCCATAAAGGAGCTGTCATAGAAGATGCGCCTGACTGTTCGCTATATTCCTGAGGATTACCAAGTTAAGAGCAACCAGGTTCTATTGCCCATCCCACCCTACAGAGTAGCTAACTCCCTTCTGACGTCTCCTGCGGAGACTGATCATAGATTGTTCCCCTGGGGAGCACTCAGGGGCATCCTAGGGCAGGCCTCTGACTCTATTGCCCGCTTATTGTATTGCCCATTCACTCTATGACGTGTTCACTCTATTATGTGTGTGTGTGCCTGTTGAAAGATCTGTAAGCTCCATGATTGAAACATATAGTAGATGGCCAAGCGCTTCTTCCAGACCCCTCTGGGTGCACGCAAACCTCCAATCTTTCAGTTCGTAGCCAAGCCGAAAGGGTTCATGACGAATTCCCTATCTCCTCCAGCTCCCCTTCAGCTGACCTGCCCTAACAAAAGAAAAGCTGGCTAGCCAGAATCACAGTACAATGGAGACCTGGCATTTCTGAGGGAGAGGTCCCTAAGATCCTCTCAATCCCTAAGCCCCCACTCACCATGAGGGCACATTGAAAATTCCGAGTCCTGCTTCCCTTCCTGAACGCTCAGCCATGACCAGTCCAGGGATTGGAGGGAGGGCGATGAGCAGGATCTCTGACTGGTTAAGAGACCCGCCTGCCGACCTCGACGGCTTCCCACAAAGGACATTGTGACATGGGATTTCCATTTCCTGTGAAATCCCGAACGCTGTGGCCTCACCTATGACGGCAAATCAAAAGTCTTCCTACTGGGAGTTCTGGTTCATCTATTCAGAGTTGTTTCGAACACAGCATGCTTAACCATGCCTAAACATGCCTCGGTGCTGACTGGGTGGGTGTTCTCTCCCAGAGAGAACATGTTGTCTCTCAGAGAAGCTCAGAGGCAGGAGATTCAGTCTTCAGAAAACTCTGGAAACTTTGGTCACAAAGCGGACCCTAGAGCTTCTCAACATGTCGACCCCCTTCACATAGTCAGACCACTTCTCTCAGTGATACTCCCTGGTCTTGTCCAGATGCCTACAGAAAGAGATCCAATCAAAGCAGAGGTTTCCTAGGGGATTTCCCGGGGGCAGTGAAATTCAAGCTGGAGAGGTCAGTTCAGAAGGCGATGGTGAATGACTGCTTTGGGGGATTCCAAATGAGTATACGTAACAGAGTCTTTTTTCAAAGGACACAGGACTATCACAGGGGCTTATATGGAGAACTTTTAAGAAAGTCAGAAACTGCTAGTGAGAAACCAGCCAGGAAAGTTGCACCAAGTATTTTTCCTCCCAATCTCAATAATGCTCCTGCCATGTTTTAGGGTAGCTGGGCTGATAACGTGGTTAGGAAATCGTACTCCATCCACCAAGCCACCTTGATCTTGCCCCAAACTCAAAGGACATTATCAGAAGGAACCCCATGGGAGTCCCCCCAAGGGTGGCCAAACTGCTGTTGGGACGTGGTGCAGGTCAGAGCACACTCCTTCAGGAAAGAGCACACCAGATGGAAAAGACCACCTTCAGAAGCGCATGGACCTAGATGGAGGAGATGTTGAGAAACAATGGCTTCGAGTTCTGCTCTTTTTGTTGAATCAAGGTGGCTGTGATCTGTGACTTGCCCTTGTAAGAAAGCCAACTGTGAAGTTGCCCTAAGACAGCCCCACCTCCCCCGGGGTCGTCTCCAGCACAAGGGTTTCCCAAGAGATCCCAGTCAAGGTGTCCCGACTGTCTGAGAGTCTCTCTGAGGCAAGAGAGGACTACAGCAAATTCCAGAAACTTGGGTAACAAATCGGGCCCTAGAACTTCTCAAGCGGCCGATGCCCTTCACACAGTCATTGTTTTGTTTATTTACAGGAAAAGTCTCCTGTTGGCTTCAAATACTTACATCGTTTTCTAAAAAATTAAACATGCTTCTTTCAGCCAACTCCTTTGACTCTTGAAATTTTTCTGCTGCTTGTCTGATGTCTTCATCTGGTATCTTACCTACTCGCCTCTTTTTATAATCATAATCCAGGCGGCGGCCTTCCAGCTTCTTCAGGTGGTGCTACAAGGGAAAAACAAGCCCCTCAGGGAACTCAAAGCAATCATTGTTGTTTTTAAAAAGTCATTGATTTTTCTCTCTCTGAATCCTCGGGGGCAGGAACCCATTTTCCACTTCCTTTGTTTGCACCTCAGCACATGGTGGAGGCTCACCTCATTGCGGATACTCAAGGACTATTTATTAGAGGTGATGAACAACTGAAGGTGTGCAGGAGTGGATGGATGGGTGTGTCAGTGGATGGATGGATGGATGGATGGATGGATGGATGGATGGATGGATGGATGTGTCAGTGGATGGATGG